ACAGCTCGTCATATAAGCCTCGTACTTTTATGATGAATGTTCTACTATGAGAAACACTTTAAGCTATTGGTTGACAAAATCTGGAGAAGAATATTTTGAGCTTGACAATGAGCTTTAGGGACGCCCTGCGAAGGTAAATAACTTCGAACTAAGAACTGCAGTGGCCACCGACTTGTCGAAAAGTGCATTTAAGTTGTGCGTATGTAAAGATATCGTAGATATCTTTACATACGCAGATAAGATAGATAAGATAGAAAATAGATGATAGGGTAAAGGCGCTTGCTTTTTCCTACCCTCACGTTCTATAATAATTTGTGATGACAAATTGATCCTGTACATTAATAAGTACAGTTGAACTGGCGGAACATCAAATGTACAGCTTCCAAAAGCTTTTTCTGTGTGTTCTAATACAAACGCTATTCATTAGAGTTTCATTAGTCAGTCGATTAGGGCCGAAACGTGTTGTCAACAGTTAAAAAAGATGATTAAAAAACATACATATATATACATGACAATAATCGCATCTTTCTCTCTACGCGTTTAAAGCTATACGCTAGGGCGGTAATGATTTGGCCTACAATGGCTTATTTAGACTTAGGCTTAGACAAGTGGGGAGGAAAAAGTGACTATTTAAATGAGGTGATCGTTTAGCTTGTATCGCCATCTGATGCGAAACGTAGTTTTTCCTTCCTGGTACCCTCCAATCGTCCTACATCCAAAAGACCTTGATCTTTTTCTGTCTCTATCAAGTTTTTTTTTGTCAAGCTTATGATAGGGTAAGACTTCCAGTAATAAGGCCGTCCGCCAGCCACTGCTTCCCCGTTTCAGATACCGCTTATAATCAATAAAAAAAAGTCACTTCACTCGAAGTATCTACATTGTTAGTGTGGAATTATCTACAGTCTTAGTGGACAAGTGCCATGCAAGTAGATCGTTAACATATTATGCGCGCGCAGCAGCGGGACCTCGAATGTATTTATAAGCACGTACATGACTTGATCCAACACTAAATAGGTTTCTAATGATTTTTTGCGCAGCAACTTAAGGCCTTTTAGGCCGCTTTTTACGTTGGACGAGCATATAAACACTGCAGTATATTGTAGAGTTGCTGCGATTTTTATGACTCATATATGGCTTAATATGTAAGTTCTGCTTTATCTATTAGCTACAAGTCGTCTAAATGTAATGCCATAGAACCTGCTTTGTGGCTTTTCGACTGTAATAATGTAGGTAATATGTTGAAAGTAAGTTTAAGAGCCGCGATAGCGCCGACATGTTTGTTCTTTTTTTATTATGAAAACATTGTTGTTACTGATTATCCGTAATGAATAGTTGTTAGACATCGCTAAATATAACTAGTCTAGGAAAGTGTCTCCAAGCACTGCTTCAGAAGGGCATTCTCTGGCTAAGAATCCACATTATTTGTGAAATTTTAATTATTTTTATATTTACTTAAAGAACCTTCATTATAAGTGTTACTTTCTTTATTGGGCCATTTCAAATACGCGTCCAATATTATCATGTTTCAGCCTGCACGCTTTAAATACACCGCAAATGTTACGCTTGCATTTGTGGGACGGGCTTGACTCAACCATAGGCATCTACATTTACCACGATTTTACTATACAAAAGATGCAGATAAAGAGAAACTATTGCTTGTATCACGTTTGAGGCAAAACTTTTCCTACTTACTGAAATATTTTGCCCACTAAACGGTGCCTCTTTAAAGGACATCTTTAAAATACTCCTACCTCTTTACCACGGCATGCCCACGACTTCATAACGACGCATACTCTATTCTAAGGGTAGAACATCTGTGCATAAATGCCACGATAACCGTATAGAAATAAACCACAACAATTAGATCCGGTCTTATAGTTCCCATATCGTAACTTAGCTATCCCCCCAACAACGGTCATATAATATGACGACCAAATTCTTACCTGAGTTCACAGGTTACATTTCTAGACCATTCAACGGAGCGCAGAAATGATACGACAAGTTATTCAAACTTTTTAGATTCAAACTTCGTACAATACGAAACTTTTCTTTACTACGAAAAATGTTGTCGTTGCCAAAACTGTAGCTTTGTAAAGAAGTTAAAAGTCTGTACTGCAATGAACTGTATCTGTTTGCACTAGTATTATCCTTTATGTTTCACACACACACACACACACACACACACACACACACACACACATATCACAAACATAGCGGAGGATGAATAACCCGTGAAATACGGTAATAGCCGTCTGTTGTCGATCCTTTGAGAAGTGACAATGTTGGGTTTCCGTTCGACCTAGGTATCTTTCTTCTTTCTTACATAGGTTCCTTAAAATATGTTGATATACACGAAAAGATAGAGGCCTATGAAACCGTAGGTTAACTCTTTATGCAGACATTGCGTTTATTTTGGTCGTAAGCTGCAAATTCCCATTCATTTCAAGAGCAATTCTAAGAAAACGTTGAAATATTTGCCAAACTCACATAAACTAAAGTCTTAATTGGTTCAACTATTTTACTCATTGTTTGCTTTACCGTAGTTCGGAATGGAAACGGCTACACTGGAAAATAGTGCCAAAATAATGTCGTATCATCATGGTATGGAACAATCACTGGCAGCCCAGATACAAAGCATCGGCAATTAGCTGCTAACTGAAATAATTACGTTCCACAAAACAACATCTGGCACTTTATAATGGCCAAGATTTCTAGGATAATCTACCTATGTAGCTTATTAGTTTGGCATTGACTGGGCGACAAGAATGACCCGAATTTCCCCTTCGGCTACGAAGGCAACGTTGCCTTTCGCCCTTGCGAAATGTAGCACTCGCTGGTAAAACATGTTCCTCCCTTCGGGTATCTTTGGTGCTTTTGGCGGATTTCGAATGATTTCTCGCGAATTTAGTCAACATGTTTTCTAATACAGTCGACCTTATCAATCCCTTTATTTGTATTAGCATTTACCTTTCTTGTTTACCCCCGCGTGGACGTGCAATGATGATGCTGCTGCTGCTGCTGCACATAGCATTATATCCTCCTGGGCCCGGTAAGTTCCGTAGAGTCCCAAAGGTATGGTAAAGTCGTCAGACCTCTTATCATCCATAAGCCGAAAGCTCTAAACCCTAAGGTTGTCAAGGTTCTGACCGTCCTAAGTTCTATTTGATAATTGCGCGGATTTAGCAAGCCTCGATGGTTTTTCTGGTCCTTTGGTGTTCTTCACCGGTGTCAACCGTATCTTTGCGTGTTGAGCGGGCAGGTGTAGGCCAACGATAAGTGCAGAGGATTGCTGAACAAAACAGCGCGGCCGCGTGACACATGGGCGGGGACTATTTGAAGCCTTCGATTGGTCACTTAGAATTCTTTCATGTGTTACCATTCAGCTTGACATTTAAGTACGCTTAATTAATTATACTTAGTTGACTACTACCAGTAAATAGATTAGCTTAGTAAACTTTTATTCCCTCGACAAGTTGCTCAGTCGGGCTTGTTTACATTGTACAGATGATGCGAAGCGAGCCCAAGTTTCTCATCGTTGAGCGTCATGTCGTTTGTGGATGCGCTACGCTAAAATGGCAGTCAAGTTACAAATTGTTGACATTTTTAATTGTGACGGTCTGCTAACTGGAACTTCTATCGGTTACGTTATCATGGTCGGCTTCGGTAGGAACGTAGTAGGGTGTTTCGCTCAGCTAGTTGTTCCCCTACGCAGAGCTGATACTACACTGAGACCCGTCCCACGAGCCCAATCGAAGCAGTATATTCCAAGGGAACATCGAAAAATGTTTTCTTTTGAAACTGCTATCATCTGCTGATGGAAGCAAATCCAGAAGAAGTAGCAAATATTTGCGGGGAATTGCGAAATCTATTTTTAGGTCGAAATTAATACCATCGGAACTGATGTATTGACCTGCGAATGATTGCTTGCTCAAATGCCGATGCCTTATGTAAGTACCGTGCGTTCAGAAGAGCTTCAACATGTTTCTAACATAAATGTGCTGCGATGAGCTCTATCCATGGGCGTTTCAGACGTAATATTTCAGAGATAAATATCGATATTGTGAGATGTGTGTAAAAATGCATTTGTGAAATGTTCTAAACTTTTGAACTTCTATAGCACGACCACAATCAATATATCAAAAACATAGGTCACTGTTCGTTGCCTTTACTTGTACTCTCCCTCTATTACCCCAGCCTACGATAACTGTAAAGACAATACACAAGAAGTAGTTATATGTATTAACTTGTCAAGAGAGGGAGAATTCTATTTTATCTTATATTTATTTCTTTAATCCGCACATAAAAACAAACAGATTTCTGACAAAGCTCCATTCGAATGGACAACTTGAACTGCTTTTACGACCTGGTAAAATCCCAAAATACGCAGACCGTCGTTTTTATCCGTAATATATACGCTTAGTTATTTTGCATAAGGAGTGCTAACTAGTACCCTGAATAATTGTCCCATTTGACGGTTAACTTAATGAAACCGTTCTTATAGGTTCCGTTCATTAGAAAATTCCTTAAGGGAAGTTTGATTGTCTTAGCAGGCTCTGTTTTGCTCATAAGGCCATACAATCATCATAGGCGCCTGTCTGCTTTACGGGCTTATCTCTCCCTGCAATAGATTACTTTTCTCTTTTTTGAAAGACTGAATTTTTTATCGCTAGTACTTCCGCAATGGATCAAACTGCCCGTGGCAAGAGTAGAAACTAATTCCGAAAACGTCAAGGGAAGCAAGTAGCATGGTACTCGCGCTGATCTGAACTGCAACCAATTCAAATGATATGAAACACTCATAAATTCTCATCTGGGAATCGAATCCGGGGGGTTCCAACTTGTGGATTTAGGGCCCGCTATACTTACCCCGCCATAGCGCCCCAACGTAGCGCAGAGTCGGTGTAAATCGTGTTCTACAAGCAGCCGTTTGTTATTCAAAATAGTGGCGCCTGACCCGGCCGTCTGATAGTTACAAATAATAACAATTCCTTATTGCGTTTAAACAATTATTTATTATGTTTACACTGGATATGCAGGTTAAATATGCGTCAACAGACGCCAGGGGATCGTGGTTACAACAACACTGATAGACTTGTATTAAGATAATTTAGGTGTAAAGTTTTGTTTTGATTTGAACTATGATTTTCAACCCGTATTGGCTATTTCATTGGATCTGTGTGGTCCACACCTCGGGTGTTGCTTCTTTATTTAACACCCGGATGCAGCTACACCTGGAGTAGTCAATTAGGCCTATCAACACCATGTATCGCTCTTGATACGATTTAATTTGTATGCCATCTTTGTCTAATAAGGTTGGAAGGAAAATTAGGGTGAGGACCGAATTTGGAACGCTGCAATCATTACTTGCTGCCGCCTACAGCAGGCCATTACACAACGTGGTTTAACGGACCCGTTTTTTGAAGATAGCTTCTAGCTCCTGGGTAAATTAAACATTATGAACAACGCCAACGAACAATGGTAAAACTTCAGTGACGTTGTGCTTGCCGTACAGAATTGCTACATAAAAGGACCTGTCTACTGTCATCGGGACTGGATCGAGCGAAGGCCGGATAGATAAACGAGTAATTGTGAGCGCAGTGACAGCAGCCGCCTCTGTGCCATACGCCGTTACGATCATCTGGTAGAATGAAGGCAAAAGACCATTAATGGAAGCTACTTTACCGCAATTGCCAGTACGTGCTCCTAAGGTTTGATAGAAACCTTCGACACACACACACGTATATATAATGTAGTCGTAAGCTATGGCCTCGAATTAACTTGAATCAATCTTTTCAAACAGTCTAT